CTTACAACAATTTATTTGGTTAAGTATATACAAGGGAGTGGGGGGGGGCACCCAAATCTCCAGGGAGACAATTGGACACAGAGACCAAGCTGACGTGATATCAAGAGAACCAAATCGGCAGTGTGGATGCCTTTTCTAACAAATGGGACAAAAGAAATCCAGATTAATAACGCCCAGGCAAAGGTCCAAACCCAGTGGTAAATTCTATAGTCTCAGAATGAATAACTGGGATTGATGTAATTGTTAGTTGAATCACTGGGTTCTAAACCTGAGGTTTAAGAGCTATAGTATAGCCAAGTAAAGCCCAAGTGACACCTTTAAAAGTGTCCTAGCCCCAGTAAATACCAAACCGTATCTCACGGCCAGAGTAATTCTGGATATCAGCACCATTGTTAATGATCTAAAGGACACAGAGTGATAGTTCATACACTATCTCCACTTCAATTGTTGGCCTCAGCAGAAATCAAGTAGACCTAGAACAGTAACAGCAAACAACTGCACACTCAACCAATTCGTAGCTCCAATTTGAGCCATTGTGTTCATTTGCCTGCTATGAACAAATCAAAATGGCCTCTGGTACAAAGTGTGAGCCTTGGTTTGCTGAAAGCATTCTTTGCTCTTGTCATCAGAAAAAGATGATTAGAGACAATTAGATCATACATATGAATAACATACATTTTTTTAAGTTTTATCCTAGGACGACATAAATCTCCTATTCTTGGCCGTAATATAATCCAAAGGAATCTGGATCATGTGGATATCCTGAAGAGTGTCCATTGACTTATTATTTGGTGATATTGGGCTAATCCAGCCACATGACCAAGCAGCTCAGTGCCTTGTGTAATAGAAGCTCAGTAACATGTCTATTGCTCCAGGGAGGGAAAGATTTAAGATCATACTCTATTCAGAATGTTTTTAGGGGTTCAGTGATGAAAGCGTGCCAGGAAGTCTCCTTCCAAAGTAAAAGACAAAATAAAATCTCTCATAACTCCTACCACAAGGAAATAAACAAGACATCTGCTCAGTGCCATGTTTTCCATACAGGGGAAGGGAATGCTGTTCAGGACCATTAGAAGGATTTTTCTCTTGTCATCTTTCAAGGCTTCTCCTTATACTACTCCTACTGGATCAAACTTGGGTTTCTTCCTCTCCACAGTCTCGGCTGTTTCAAGTTGTGTTCCCATGTGTCGCTTTGTTAAATCGGGGAGGGCTGTTAGTGTTGCCATGGTAGTTGTAATGGTGTCTGGTTGACCCACTTATGCAGCTTGCTTGTGCCCTCAGATTCTTGTAACTCAGCCCCAGATGTAACCCTTACCACTTACAATGAATGGCTGCCAGGCTTGCTTGACCTCGTGTCTTAGCAGATGTAATAGTGCTCAGCTTATGATGGGCAGGTTCAGATACCTACTCACTTAGGGTCCTGGTTCAAGTATCATGTTAGAGCCTAAGATCACACCAGGATCTGATTGTCAAAGGGCATGTGATTCTTCTCTCCAGATGGTACTGAAGAAGGGGTTGGCTTTCCCACTGGGGCTTGCCACAGGCTGTACACAGCTGCCCTGTTCACCACCTGCATGGTTTTACAACTAGCTGGCAAGGCTACTTACACTTCAGCCTGGACCTGCTACAGATCCTTTTCCTGCTTCAGTCCATTCTCTAAAGTCCTTCCAATGAACACAGTATACTTAGTTGTATTTTCTATGAAAGGAGAATGGTTCTATATTAGAATGCATACAGAACCTAGAATGAGACAGATTGAAAGACTGGGTAAAGGCATATGGACAGGCAAGGGAGTGGACAAGACATACAAACATCTCTATATCATTTGCCAATGCCCACCACAGAAAGTCTGTCCAGGAATAGAGGCCCTTAACTGCCAAGTGCACTGAATGGATTGGTCACCCGGCATCAGCCAACTTCAGTCATTGGCCACCCTGGTACTGGCACAGAAGACGCATGAGGGGAAGGGAACACTGAAAGAGGAATAGGCATTGTGCAGGGGCCCATATACAGCACTGAATCTCATTAACCAATGTTGAGTTAGCTCCTAGTGCTGTCTTGTTGTTTGTGGTGCTAAGTATCTAACCACTTGCACACTGAGTTCTCAACATTTGCTCTTAACTGTCTGTTGACAACAGAGCACAACACCAAGTCTCCCATAGAGCTTCATTCCTTGAAGGGACCAATAGCCTTCTTGGTGGGACATGAACGACTTCAGGCTACCTTCATACTGCAAGGGCTACAATTATCAGGAGTGAGATCTGTTCCAAACAGTCACAAAGGGTAAGAACATTCTCGTTTCAATTTCCATACTCAAGTCACAAAGTCACTCCAGGAAGATCAGTCTAGAGCTGTGAGTGCTGTTTTCCTCCAATGAGCCACACCAATCTCCCAATGTGAGCTACGGCTTAATCTGCAACATGATCTCCTGGGAGTCTTTGCTCTGTGATTTCACAGCAATCTGAAGATGAACTTGAACCCATCTTAGCACTTCTCCTAACTGCCTTTGGAAGACTTCTATGTTTGGGGTTGAACGTTGCAGGATCACAAGCTTTGCTTTCGGCTAAATGATGGTTGGGGTTGTAAAAAATCTGCTAAATGACATTATAAAGTAATTATGTGTGCAATCCAAACAAGTTTTATTTCTGTTGTCATTTGGAGCAGTGACAAGTCTCATAGTTCAACTTCCTTTGTGAATTTCTAAGTAGGCCATCAAAGACAATGGGAAGGAAAAGTTCCTCTTTGTAGCACATAACAAGGAAAGGGAGAAAGCTTGCAAAGTGGGAAGCAGAAAAGTTGCCAATAATATAGCACAAGTACAAACCTTGATTGACCACCGAGGAAAGGGGGAGAGGGGCGAGTGTGAACCACAGGGCATAAAAAACGTCTGCACCTTGCTCTTCCATGAACATGAGAGCCCCGGCTTCCCAGGGGGATGATTGAGAACGATAGTTTTATAGCACAAGTAGCTTTTGTTGATTAGCTTTTTGTTTGCTGCTTTCACTCCTATGAGTGTGTTTAGCAAACACCATCTTTTGTCAAAGCTTGGGATTGAAGGCCTGGAGGTAGAAGGGGAAGTTAGGGGGTGGAAAAATCACTTTCCAGATTTGATATTTAGCTTGATACTCCCTCAAAGTAGCAACACAGATGACACAAAAGATAGGACATCATAGCCCTGCTAAGTGTTCTGAAAACAAGCCCGGTACATTACGAAAGATACTCCTTAGGATGAAAAATGATCACATGATGATGATGATGATGATGATGATGGCTGTGGTACCGGGGCTTGAACCCAGGGCTTCATGCTTGCAAAGCAGGAGTTGTGTTCCTTAAGCTACATCTTCCAGACTGTTGCTCTTTTCATTTATGAGATAAGAGTTTCACCTTTTTCTTGGGCCTACCTGGACTACACTTCCCTATTTAGCCTTCTCATCTTAGCTGGAATAACAGATGCTCACTACCACTCCCAACTTTTCCATTAAGCTGAGGGTCTTATGAACTTTTCTTGTTTGGGCTGGCCTCAAACAGTGATCCTCCCAATCTCAGTCTTCCAGATAGCTAGGGTAACAGGTGTGAGCCACTGGTGCATGACAGATTCCATTACTTATTGGTGGTAAATATAGCAAATGTTTTCTTAAAAATATAAATTTAAACACAAACATTACCTCAGAAATACCCTTAGACAATTGATTTTGTTTCACTCTTTGATGAATATATGGGGGAAAGTAAGAGGGAGCAAGGAAGAGAGGGAGGAGAGGAGGACTGAATGGCTGAAAATGCCAAAGTTGGTGGGTTGTTTTTTTGAGGGTCTGGTTATGATAAGACACTTGGCTCCTCTTGCTGACAACTAAGCTAATGATATGACTAGATAATACTTTCTGAGAATTACTATACTCTGGGTATTTTGAGTGGCATAGTTTTCACACATGTTCTATCTATTACCTGTCTGAGGTTGGTGCAGCTATTTCCTGCTGAACAAATTAGGAGAGAGAGAATAAGTAGCCTGACTCAGAGTATTTTCCCATGTAAGTTTGGGACAAGTGGGAGTCTTACTCCAAGGTCCACATGTTCCAAGATGATGCATGTGATACTCCTCCCAGCAGAGGGGAGAGGGCACTCCAGCCACCTCCTTACCACCTGCCTGAATGTTGTTCAGGCCTCTAGTGGGTGAGACACTGTGTACAAGTTTGGTTTGCACACTGCTCAAGGCTATGGCTTCCAAGAGAATGCCTTTCACACTGGAGAAGTATTCTAGGGTCTGGGAGAGGCTGTTGGTGGGAAAGAAAACAGCACACACAGCTGTGCACACTCACCAGCACACATTTGTGCACGTGTGCACACACACACACCACTGTCGTGCCCTAACCTTCTTGTTTTCACGCTGGGAAAGCGGAGGACGCATGCTACAACCAATGGCAGAGCCACAAAGGCTCTCACAACATTCACCGTCAGTAGGGGAGCTTTGGAACTCACCCGAGGGTGTCATTTCATCTATTCTTGATCAGAGTCTTACACTGCAGCCTGCAGTGACCCCATTTCCCTGGATCCCTTAGTTGCTGAGTGCATGACCTGCGTCAGTTCAAGACCAACAAAGGAAGATACATCTTTTACACAGAAAAGAACCTCTTCCAACACAGATTTTCCCAAGGGAAATACTGGGATATTTTCCCTTGTGTCATCCACTGGAATAAACCGCATCTGTCCATGGTTTCTTTCCAAGAAGACCGTATCAATGACTAGGCTGTCCTTTGTCCTGGGCATGAATTAGAAAGCACCAGGCACACAGTCAAACTGAGTCAATAACCTGAAAATCCCAAATGGCTTTTTCTCTGGAAACCAGGGGGGCAGGTCAGCAGGGCACAGCGGGCAGCCAGTGGAGGGGAGAGGGGGACAGGGGAATTCCTCTCCAGACTGCTGAAGTTCCCTTCTCTCCCACTCAGTTGTAGCATCAGTGGTTCTGGAGATGCCTGAATGAGCCATCTGAGCAGTGGGCATCCTAAAATACCCAGGTGCCTACGCTGGGGAAGGCAGGAAAGAAGGAAGGAGTGCATCCATCTATTTTCCCTGAAGCTACCATCACCACCCTGAAAACGGTCCCACAGAAATAAGTGGCATTAGGGACAACACGTAATGAGAGCCAGAGAGAAGAATCTTGGAGCAAGAAGCAGGGAGGTGAGCAACAGAGCTGCTGCTGTGTCTCAAGCTTCCAACGCCCGTTCAGTTCACACACTGTGGGGCGTCTCTCTCTCTCCAGATTTAGAGAAAGCAACTAGAAGACACCCACAGGCCGACATCTTTGAGGCCCCAAGGAAAAAGTCCAAGTGGGCCTTATTCTAGCCTGACATGGATGCAGAAGCCCCAGCTGAGCCCAGAGAACGAAAGGTGAGCTGAGATTTCTTTCCTGAGGTTGGGCTCTAGCTCTAAGTGTGGGTGATCCATTGCAGCAATGCTTCTCAGTGCTTCCAGAAAGCCAGGTAAGGATCACTCTTTCAGCATGGATGGAAAAGGAGGTCATTAGATCAAGGTCATTACATCAACCTCACATACAGCAGAAGCTCCTGTGCCCTGGTTCAATGTTCCTCCCTTGCTTTGCTGTTCCCTTCATTCTAGTCTTCTGCCCTGGGGTTACGGGGAGGAACAGCAGAGAAATGGGACTCCAAGGGACCAGGGGAGGGGACGAGGAAGTCAGATCAGCCTGAGCTGAAGATGAGCGTGCTGTGATTTCTAGCAGGACCCTCCACCCCACCCGAGGGCCTTATCCACTGAACGCAGAGGCCTGTGGTGTCAGCTACTGAATTAGGCCTTTCCTGTATTCTGGAGAAAGGATTCCTGAAGGTCACTGCTGGGGAGGGTGACTTGGAGACTCTCCACTGAGTGATAGCCTTTCGGCGTCCCCTCCTTCCCCCTCCAATCAAGCAGGATAACTTTTATCTTACTCTGGGCTTCCTCATTGCTCTGCAAAGGTCGATTTTGTGCAAGAGATTGTTGCACCATTGGGCATCAGAGAAAAGGGGTGGCAGAAGCAGAGACTTTGGCCCCATTACACGCCATGTGAGGACTTAGCCCTTCAGAAACCACAGCCCAAGAGGACTCTGGCTGCCAATGCCAGAGGTAGCCAGGTTGGGTGGGTATTAGTCTACCTGTGGGGGCAGCCACACATTGGATGAGAGAGGGGACAGGAGCCTGGCACTGTATGGAAAAATGCCACACCGGTGCCCAAGGGAGGGAGCTCCCTCACGCGGGACACGCAAAAGGAAGAGCTAGGAGATGTCAGAAGTCAGGAACAGTTCAAGATCTGGACACTCTAGGGACTCAAAGGCCTTCGTGGATGTGACTGGGCAAAGCTAAGCCAGGTGGCAATTGTCACCGAGCCAGCCCAGACTCGCCTCTGTCTCTCCCTTCCTCTCCTCTCTTTTCCTTGAGTTTTTTGAGACAGCATTTTTCTAAGTGGCCCATATTGTCCTTCAACGTGCCATCTTCCTGCCTCTCGGCTTTTCGGGTGTGAGGATTAGAGGTGTGAGCCACCACACTTGGCAAGAAAATTTTATTTTCAAAAGGGAACTTCATTTTTGTTCATGTTAAGAGATATAAATGGCACATATTTCTATTTTCCTTCCAATTGTCTTCCTCCATCCTTTCTTCTCTCCCCTCTTCTCTTCCTTTCTTCTTCCTTCCCTCCCTTTATTTTTGTTGTACTGAGGATTGAATTTAGGACCTCCATCTTGCTAGGCAGGTGCTCTAACACTTGAGCCATACCCTAACCCCAGATTCTTCATGCTTTTCCTTTCCCCTTCTTTCACATTCTACCCTTCCTTTCCTCTCCCCTCCTACTTCCTCTGCTTTTCTTCTTCTGATTGGATTTCCTCTTGCACAGCCTATGTTCCAAGCTGGCATTGGCTTTGTCTGACTTAGTCTAGTTGGAGGTCAAAGAGTTTCTGCTATGGGGTAAGCCACTGGCTTACAGTTGGTGCATTGACTGTCTTTAACATGAATGAAGTATGGATTCTAGTAGGAAGGGAAAAGCAATGGCCTATTATGGGTGGAAGAACTGTAAGCGTAGATAGAATCAAACAGTAGATTTTTTTTTGAGATAGGTCCAGCCTACGTAGTCCAGCCTGGCCTCAAACTTGTGATCCTCCTGCCTCTGCCTTTCATGCATTAGGATTATAGGTATGCACCACCGCACCTAGACAGAGCAGGTTTTTTGTTTTTTTAGTCTATCAAAAACCATCCATGAGGGCTGGGAAGGTGGCTCAGTGGTAGAGCGCTTGCCTTGCATGCAGGAGGCCCTGGGTTCAATTCCTCAGCAACACATAAGCAAAAAGAAAAAAGCCGGAAGTGGCGCTGTGGCTCAAGTGGTAAAACATTAGCCTTGAGCTGTAGAGCTGAAGGATAGCGCCCAGGCCCAGAGTTCAGTTCCCACGACCGGACCCAAAAATAAATAAATAAACAAAAACCATCCATGACTATCCTATGGGAAATTAAAGAGAAAAGGTAATGCACAGTCGCTGTCATTTGGGGGAGGGGGTGCTGAACTCTGGGGCTGGGCGCTGTCCCTCAGCTCTTCAGCTCAAGGCTAGCACCCTAGCACTTGAGCCACAGCACCATTTCCGGCTTTTTTTTTTTTTTTTTTTGCTTATGTGGTGCTGAGGAATCAAACCCAGGGCCTCAGGCATGCAAGGCAAACGCTCTACCACTGAGCCACCTTCCCAGCCCCTCACTGTCTTTTTAATTAGCAGTAAAAGATCATTGAATGGGGAGTGGTCCTTACAGTGTCCATTAAAGGAGCAGTGGGGCCCTGTTCACAGTCCCTGCACCGTGTGCTACATCCTGGTCCAGAGCTTGAAGGTAGAAAAAAGACCAAGACACAAAGCCCTGCCCTTAAGGAGCTGCCCAGGCCAGGCGGGGAGGAGCAGCATGGACTATAGGAAAGAGAGCAGCTTTCTAGAAGCAGAAGCAGGAAAGTACCAACAGCAACTGAGCCTGAGGTTTAATTTTCATTTCATCTTCCTGATGGAGGTGTGCTAACTGCGACACAGAACGCTTTCCCTGGAGGCACCAAGTCCCCTGTGCAACACGGAGAGGTGAGGACAGAAGGGAAGGCAACGCTGTTCCCACGCTCGCCGTGCTCAGCTGCTCTGACCACACTCTCCTGCTGTAGAGCAGTCACCCCTCATCTCCCCTGGAGATGAGGCAGACCCCCGAGATTGTATCCTCCAAACCCTCTAATTCCAACCAAGTTTAAACTTCCAATATGTGTTCTCTCCACTCTGTGATTCTCTTTCCAAAATCAGGGTGTTTTGTCTCTCCTGAACACAGAAGCTTCATGACAAGGGACATTTCACCATAGTGACAGTCACTCAGGCGAAATGCGTGTGTAGGAATGGGGGACATAGCTATGCGTTCCCAAGGAGGGTTGTTCTCGTCATGCGCGTGGGCATATCCTATTGCGCAGCTCCGGCTCAGGGCAAACACATTCCCAAAATGAGAAGGCGCCCAGCCCACGGCTCACCACCAGCTTCTCAGTTGCCTCCCCTTGGGCTTTTCTCCGTATATGATGGTTTTGTTTTTGTTTTTGTTTTGTTTTGCTTTTGCAGGTCACAAACCAGAGCACAGGATGGAGAATGATCTTGGTCCTCATGCTGTGCCTGCTACAAAGTAAGTTCTAAACATATCCACGTTGAATCTTCTAGACTACACACATTCCTGGAGGGTACTTCAAGGAAACCCAGTACAGTCTGGGTAGATCTGTGGCTGTCAAGGCCTGGGATGCTGAGATCTAAGGTCCTGCAGTGGATTCAGGGAGTGTGGTCAGATTAGACACTGCAGGAATGAGGGAGAGGAGAACTCACAGACAGGACCTAGGCCTGACTTGATAATATCTAAAACATCCAATATTGTGATGTTCCCCACACCTCTGCTTTCTTAAACAAAGACCATTAATCAGCTACTTTTTCAGGAGACTTCAGAGTGTGTAAAATACAGACATAGCCTTACTTTCTTCTCACTCTTCTTCATTCCAGATTAGAGACATGATAATGGCTCTACCCTAGTCTTAAAGAGTTCTGTCTACAAAGGCGCTAATTGGGTCAAAAATTGTATTTATTAATTTATTTGATTGACTGTGTGCCAGAGATAAGGGACAATGACAATGTGTGTGTGTGTGTGTGCGTGTGTGTGTGTGTGTGTGTGTGTGTGTGTGTGTGTGCCAGTTCTGAGGCTTGAACTTAGGGCTGTCCCTAATTTCCTATTGCTCAAGGCAAGCACTCTACCACTTTGAGCCACAGCTCCACTGAGATGAGTCTCACAAACTTTCCTACCCCAGATGGTGTGAAAACATGATCATCACATCTCAGCCTCCTGAGTAGCTAGGATTATAGGCACTTGGATAAAAAAAAAAAAAGACAATTTTTTAAATGAAAGCTAGGCACCAGGATCAAAAAAATATTTCAATGAAAGATAGGATTTCTGTCCTAAATATCCTTGCAAGCTGTGGTAGTAAGGCTGGCCATGTATAGCTCAGGCTCAGATTTTTATTCTAAAGGTAATGGGTAGCCATAGTATGTGGCTAGAGGGTCTATTCCCTAGAATCTCGTCCCCAGTATATACCTAAGAAACAACTATTAAATGAAGGAAAATGCTTTATGATTATGTTAAAAAAAAAGAGATTAACCATGTCTGGTGAATAGACAAATCAGTTTTAATGAATCAATGGTAGAGCTAATATTGGAGAAATGTGACATACCACCTGCTTAATCTCCCACTGTTCCCTTTTCATTTTTTAAAAAGCAAATATAAGCTTCCCTGTATCTGATCAGGCAGATTTTAATTCTTTTAATTTAATTAATTAATTAATTAATTAATTATTGTCAGCTGAGGGTCTTGACCTCTGGGCCTGGGCACTATCCCTGAGCTCTTCAGCTGAAGGCTAATGTTCTACCGCTTGAGCCACAGTGCCACTTCCGGCTTTTTCTGTTTATGTGGTCTGAGGAATGGAACCCAGGGCCTCATGCATGTGAGGCAAGCGCTCTACCACTGAGCCACCTTCCCAGCCCAGACCCATGATTCTTGCCGACATCTAGATTATAGTCCAAAATTAGTTGCTTTGAGTCTTGAGTGTTCTAAATTTGATCATGTCAAATATCCAGTTTAATATGTCATTCAGCATTTTAGCCTTGATCCCAAGACATGCCTCCTACATCCCCTGTAGACTGGAAGTGGGTGTGGCACTGCCTTCCCTCTCCCCATGGGATAACGCAGTCAGAATAATAGAGGAAGGGGAGGCCAGAGGACAGGCCACTCCGACAGGCAGGGCTGAGGGGAAGGGGTTAGACTTGGCTCCTTACCTCTTCCTCTTGTGGGTGCTTTTGTGGACACTTGTGGCTCAGCTCCTCTCTTTGCCCAGGCTCATCCTCAGCGCCTTCACATAAAGATCTCCATCTCAGATGGTGGCGGGCTGGCTCTCTCCCCTCCAAGACTCACCTCTGTGCTGTGGACACATTTCCATCCTCATCACCCTTCTGGCAAGACAAGCATCCCTTTGCAGGTACATCCCTCCCTCCTCTTTGTTCCGCCACAGGCCTCCTCCAGTGCTCTAACGGAAGCCACAGCAATAGATAACTGCTGGGTAATGATGGATGTGAGAGCCAGGCACTTCTACTACCTACTCTAAGGGGCAGAAAACTGGTCAAAGCACATTGGTGATACCATATTGGTTCTACTGTGCTAGCCCATTATTTAAGTTTCACAGGTGACTAACATGGAATTGTATAACACTTCAATTATTATATCAAAAAAGGAATGATGGGTTAGTAACCTACCACATGAGTTTTTAACTTGGGTATTAATTTTTTTCAATGAACCTTGATTAAGGATTGTTCATCAGCTTTCTATGCCAAAGTCAGATCCCCACATGGATGTCAGAAGAACACCTGAAATCTGGGCTATGAACGTTTAATGAGAGTATCGATTTTGTTATTCTGAGATAGTTTCCAGTTGATATTCGGGAATATTCTTGCCTTTTAGTGGTAAATTTCCACTTATCTTTACTGTGAGTGGCATGACTTAGGGTGTGTTGTTTAATTAAACCTACAATGGGATTAACACAGCCATTGAACTTATGGTCTCTGTTTTTCCTGTAGCAAGTGCTTAGCGCAAACAATAGGCAGGTCACATATGATTGTTCTAAAAAGGCTCTTGACTCAACATTCTGCTCTTGCCATTGTGGTTTTTATTTCTTTTTTTGAAATAGGTCCTGAATATGTAACCCAGGCTGGCTTTAAATCATGATTCTTCTGCCTCAGCCTCCTAAGTGCTGTAATTATAGGCATGGGGCACCATACCCAGCCTCATCTTGAAATCTCCAATAAATTTTGGACAAGGCATACTGCATGTTTAGTTTGCACTCAGACTCATAACTTAGCTGCTCCTGACAATAGGATAGTAAACAGGTTTTTCTTGGGTTCAGGGGCCCTAAAGATACAGGACAAAGGGGAAAAGCTTTGATGGAGTAAGAAAAGGTCGCTGTCACTCTTTGTCAGATTGTTCTGGATATATAATTTTAGACTAGATTAAACTTTTGAATTTCCAAGAGAAACAAAGAAAACTATGATCCAGTCAGTTATGTCCGAGATTGCATCAAGGTCCAGAGAAGTCAGCAGAGAAATTAGAAGGAGGTACCCTGTAGGGAGTCATTCTGTATTGTGGCAAGGTCTTGCGGTTTCCTATGGCTTGTCTTTGTGCTTGTTGCTACAGTGATATTCATAATCCTGCTCAGCTGTATGGGTCTGTATTCATCTATGTTTGCTTGTCTGTTTGTATAGAATAGGGTCCAATGTGAACTATTTCATGGCTGCCAGTCTGGAGATGGACCTGCCCTTCCTCTACCCCAAGCCTAGCATGATTCTTGTGTTTGGGGAACTCTGTCTCTCTGTCTCTGTCTCTGTCTCTCTGTCTCTGTCTCTTTCTCTCTCTGTCGCTCTCTCTCTCTCTCTCTTCAGAGGAAAAGCATGCTGTTATGTCCACACTGTGTAGCATCCTTATTTTCCATCCCATGCAAACCCCAGGCCTCTGTCAGAGGCTTGCTCCTCCCTTTTACCTGCACGCAGGCAGCATCTGCTCAAACATCTGCACGGTGGAATGAACCCAGGCTCTGGATGGACTTGCATGAGAACACTCAGGCCCAGTTAGCATTAGATAAACAGTGGGTATGATTCTTGTTGCATCTTTTAGATGGGATCTCAGGTACAGTTTTCTTCTGCTTCTTGGTTCTACTTCGCCAGTGGCTAAGCTCTGTCATGTCTACATGGGTTCAGCCCCACTTCCGTGGTAGCATTTTTCTGACCTGACTCCTTCTCCTTTGACAATGTTCTTCGCCTGCAGCTGCAGATGTGTTGAAGGGCCCAAGGCTGGTGTCTGGAGAAGCCGGGGGAGCTGTCATCATCCAATGCCATTACACCCCCTTACCCGTCAACAGGCACCAAAGGAAGTACTGGTGCCGTCTGGGGCCTCCAATGTGGATCTGCCACACCATCCTGTCCACCAACTACTACACTCACCACAAGTACCTTGGCCGTGTGGCTCTAGCAGACTTCCCACGCAGTAGCTTCTTCGAGGTGCGGCTCTCCCGGCTGTCCCTGGATGATGCGGGGCACTATCGCTGTGGTATTGGAAATAGAAACAACTTGCTCTTCCTCAACATGAATCTGATCATCTCTGCAGGTATGAGCTGAGGGCTGATGGGCCAAACTTGGGAAGTCAAAGCTAGGATAGGAAAGGTGAAAGAGAAGGCTGAGACCAGGAAGGCTTTAAACCTTAGGCCGTAAAAAAAGCTGGACCCAGGGCAAAGGCTCTAAAAGGCAGGCTTGCAGTTGAGAAGGAAGCTGCCTTCAGGAAGAAGGTAGATATTACAAGCCCTTCCCAACCAAATGCATACATGCCATTCTACCCAGCCCTTCCGCCAGCAAATGCTGTGGAATCTGTATTTGAGGTATGTTCCAAGGAAGTAGTGACTTAGATAGTGTGGTTTCTTAGGGTTCTAAAAGCTCCCTGTTCACACATACAAAGAAAAGGGATATCAGCCCAGTGCCAGTGCCTCAGGCCTGTAGTCCTAGCTACTCAGGAGGCTGAGATCTGAGGATCGTGGTTCAAAGCCAGCCCATGCAGGAAAATTTGTGAGACTCTTATCTCCAATCAACTACTCAGAAAAAGCTCCAGTGGTAAAGTCCTAGCCTGGAGCACAAACTGGCTCAGGGACAGCACCCAGGCCCTGAGTTCATGCCCCAGGACTGGAAAAACAAAACCAAAAAAACAAAAACTAGAAAGGGGGCAACACTGCAGAATAGCCACAACAGGCCAGATAGGGGAATTGGAACTGCATCCTATCGTGACAGACCCTTGCTGAGTTCCTCTGCAGACAAAAGGGACAGCTCTCAAGCCCAGGCTCTGTGTAGAAAATTCCAGAAGGTTGATCCAGAGTCGGGTACTTAAAAGGGCAAAGAAGAGCCTTACGGTGTGAAAGCCACTCTCCAGAAGAAATGGCGTGTTAGGAAACGGCCTGCTAGCTGGTGTTTTGACACACAAGACCTTACAATGTAGTGGCAGCAGACCTGAAATTCTCTCTGTAGCCCAGGCTGGCCTGGAACTCATAAACATCTTGCTTCAGCTGGGACTACAAGTGAGAGTATCATCACATCAGCTTCTTTGTTGTTATATTTTTTGGCAGTACTGGGGTTTGAACTCAGGGCCTCTAGCTTGCTAGTCAGGCCCTCTACATACAGCCACAATCCCCCAGCCCTCTTTCGCTTTAGTTATCTTTTCAGGTAAGGGCTCATGTTGCCATGCAGGGCTGGCCTAAGATCTATCTACCTGTGCCTTCTGGGTGGCTTGGTTCCTAGATGTGTACAGCCATACCTAGCTTGTTAATTGACTTATTGCTAACTTATTGCCTTGCTTGGCCCTAATAGCTGGGGTTACAGGGCTAACTCACTGCACCTGACGCTGGCTTCTTTTTCTGAAAAGCAGTACTTGATGTGCTGTATACCTCTGGGGAAAGAGCTATCATGGTTTCCTATGTTGACGGGTAGAAGATATATGCAACTCAGAGGAGCTTAGGGCCGGGAGCAGTAGCTCACGCCTGTAATCCTAGCTACTCAGGAGGCTGAGATCTGAGAATCACAGTTCAAAGCAGGAAAGTCTGTGAGACTCTTATCTCTAATAAACCACTCAGAAAACCAGAAGTGGCACTGTGGCTCAAGTGGTAGAATACTAGCCTTGAGTTGAAGAGCTGAGGGACAGTGCCCAGGCCCAGAGTTCAAACTCCACAACCAAAACAAAAAAAAAAAGAAAGAAAAAAGAAAGAAAAGAAAAAGAGCTTAAGAATATTGTGTCTACGTTTGCAAGAGATTAGAGAACACATCTAGATTTGCACCTTTTTATTTTATCTGACATATTGACCAAAGAGTGCATCTCTTAGTGGTTGCTTCATATTTGGCAAACGTTTTAAAGCTACTGCCCTTTGCTCTACCCAGTAAGCAGCTTGCAAAGCCTTCCCCTCTGGTCTCCCTCTACTGTTCATGCAGGTCCTTCCAACACGGCCCCCACCACCCCTCCAGCTCCCAGTAAACTCATCACAGCATCCTTTGGGACAGCAGCTCCAGGAACCCCAGGACCTCCTCAGACTCAAGAAGAAGAAGAGGGATCAGAATGTGATAGAATTGTTCCAAGTGCTGAAACCAGCAAAACCCAGAGAAGACAAAGCCCAGGGACAGACAGGGAAGTAGCTCCAGAAATGCACAGCCAGACAGAAGGCTCCATCAAGACAACAGTCTCCACTGTGGAGAGTCCAGCTTTAAATCACAGAGGCTTGTCCCGTACACCAGAGGATGCATGGACACAGAGCACCGGGAGATCAGTAACAAATGAAATTAGGATCACACAGAGTGAGCTCCAGATGACAACTACACAGGCCAACTGGCCAGGGGAGGGAACAGAGAGAGTCAGGATGGCTCTGGGGACAGCCAGGAAGACCACAGAGACCACAAGGCCCTCAGCCTTGATGTCAGCACAAGCTCCCTGGGATATCCTTAGAGAAACACTAGTGGTTTCTCAGCAACAAGCCCTGGGCTCTATGGAGGGATCAACTCTGGCTCCAGGTACATGGACCTTGGAGACCCCCCACTTAGATGCAGCATCTGTGAAAGGAAGCACTGACCAGAACCTAGACAGCACTACTGTGGGATATGGTGGTCTCCAAGGAGATAGTAGCTCCCAAGCAACACTGAGCCAGGCCCTAGCAACAGATCGCCTGAGGCCCACTGGCAAGGGGGCTTCCATGAAGAGGTGAGCCTGAGGCCTCTCCCTTGGGTGGGGACCCTGCATCTGCCCTGACCTATGCCATGTCTATACATGTCTCTCCCTTTGTACTTACAAGAGAGTAAAGGCCAGAAGACATAAATATCAGCTACTACCCAAGGGCCTTTGTTATGAGAATGCCACTTGAGTGCTTTCACGTGGCTTGCAAGAAAAGTGTGTGTGCGTGTGTGTGTGTGTGTGTGTGTGTGTGTGTGTGTGTGTGCGCGTGTGCACGCACGCACGTGCTTGAACTTGGGGCCTCATATTCTTGCTTGGCTTTTTCATTCACAGGTGATGCTCTACCACCTGAGCCACACTTCCACTTCTGGCCTTTCTTCTGGTTAATTGGTGATAAGAATCTCAAATTTTTGACTTCCTGGGCTGGCTTTAAGTCTCAGTCCTTAGCCTCTTGAGTAGCTAGGAGTATAAGTGTGAATCACCAGTGCCTGGCACAAGCAAAATCTAAATGGTAGAACAATAGAATTTGTAGGTTGGAACCTTTGGCACTTCTTTTTTTTCTTGCTTTCTTTCTTTTCTTTTTTTTCTCTTTCATGTTTTGGCACTACTAGGGTTTAAACTTGGGCTTTTGTTTGCTAAGTAGGTGCTCTACCACTTGAGCCACAACTTAGCCCTTTTGCTTTTTAGTGATTGTTCAGATAAGAGCTCATGTTTTTGCCTAGGGTTAGCCTCAGACCACAGTCCTCCTTCTTATGACACCAATGTTGTTGGATGTCAGGTGTGTCACCACACCTAGATTATTTCTTTTTTCTTTTGGTCATGGAGATTGAGCTCTGGGCCTGAGTGCTGTCCTTCAGCTCTTCAGCTCAAGGCTAGCACTCTACCACTTGAGCCACAGCACCACTTCCAGTTTTCTGGTGGTTTACTGGAGACAAGAGTTTCATAGCCTTTCTTGCCTGGGCTGGCTTTGAACTGTGATCCTCAGATCTCAGCCTCCTAAGTAGCTAGGATTATAGGCATGAGCTACCCGGTGCTGGCTAGATTATTTCTTGAGAAGGGATCTCATTAACTTTTTTTCCTGAGGATAACCTTGAACATGAGCCTCCTGATCTCTAGTTCCTAAGTAGATGGGATTATGGGCATAAACCACAATGGACAGTCTAAGGTTTGTTTAAAGATGAAGAACAGAAGATTAAGAGAGGGAAGGGGACTTACTGAAGCCATAAGGAAAGATAGTGGCTTGAGTCCCAAACTTGTTTGTGCTCTTTCTCACCGTGGCACATACTATGGCCCACACATAGGAGTGTGGGGTAAGGCAGCGGATTTGGGACTTCAAAATCTGAGAACAGCAATATTGCTGCTAACCCGCATGGACACCAGGGCAGCTGACTTACCTGAACCTCAGCCTGCTCACCTGTGAGATGGGAGGCATGAGCCAAAAGGTCTTTGATCTTCTATCCAGCTCCAACCTCTCCTCTTGTGTTCTTCCTTCCCTTCCCTGACCCTTTCCTCTCTAGTGCTTTTCCAGATGGGGAAAGCAGCTCTTGGATCCTGACTCCTGGTTCAACGATGCTGGCTCTGTTTCTGCTCGTGGCTCTTGTCCTGATACAAAGGAAGATCTGGAGAAAGAGGACCTGTGAGTTGGTGCTAAGTATCCCCATAGTTAGGGAAAACGTGGCTTGGAAGAGCTATATTCTAGTCTGAGCCATTTAATGACACTGTGGTTTTGTACTAAGAAACCTGCTGTTATTCAAATGGGTTTGGCATTCATTATATGTGACTTGCCATTTCTCCTTCACAGTTTTCAATATTCCTTCTTTGTTCTCTATATTTTGTATTTTAATTATATTATGTCTAGAGGTGTTTCTTCTCTGACTTTGCCTGATTGGTATTCTGGAAGCCTCCTCTACCTGGACGACCCTGTCTTAAGGGGGGGAAAGTCTTCTGCTATAATTTAAATCTAGCTCTAGCTTTTATCTCTTCGCCTTCTTCTGTACCCATTACCTATAGATTTGGCCTTTTGATGGTATCTCTGGAAGTCTTATAACTTCCTTTGTCTTTTCTTAGTGTTTTTCTGTTTTATTTTTCAAGGCTTTTGATTGAGCTAATTCCTCTCCTGTATCTTCAATCCCTGACAATATATTTTCAACTTGTTCTATTCTTTTAGCTAGACTTTTGAGTATTTTTATTTAAGATATTGAATTATTCATTTTCAAGATTTCAATCAGACTTTTTGAGACATATCTTTATTGAATTCCACTTTCTTATTCTGTGTTGTCTTCTTTATTTCATTCAGCTGTCTGATTTCTCTTTGAACTAAGTTACTTGTTTGTATTCCCTTTTAGTTCATTTGGCTGTTTAGACATTTCTTCAACTGTATTGATTGATAATTTTTGTCATTGCTTTTTTGAACTTGTTTGGAATTTCTTTCTCACTACTATCATTTACACCTTTTATTGTAAAAATTATTGGCTTTTGAGGGACATATGCTGCCTTGTTCACTCATGAATTTTGTGATTCTTTTCACTGAGATTTGTGCATCTAAGAAGTAGCTTTTAGGTGGAATTTTCAGCATACTATGTCCATTTATTTATTTATTTATTTATTTTTGTCAGTCATGGGCCTGAACTCTGGGTCTGGGCATTGTCCCTCAGCTCTTCAGTTCAAGGCTAGCACTCTACTGCTTGAGCCACAGCGCCACTTCCGGGTTTTTCTGCTTATGTGGTGCTGAGGACTTGAACCCAGGGCCTCATGCTTGCAAGGCAAGTGCTCTACCACTGAGCCACCTTCCCAGCCCCTCCTATGTCCTTTTAATTGATGATTTCTCAGAGGTTACCTAAGACTGGGTAATGGTTGGGTTGTGGTATATTTAACACTCAGGGTAAGAAAACGAGGCTGTAAAACTGTTGCAGTTGATAAAGCCACAACCTTGTGCATGTGGGTGGCAATTCCTAGCAAAGATGAGTCACTACTACTGCTCTAGTATCTTCAGATGAATACAGCTGTCTCTAATGGCATCTTGAGCCACAGTCACACACCCCTGTGGATGACTAGAGCTAGTGCCACACCTGTGCCTCTGCTGTGTGCCCACATAGGGAGACCCAAGCTCATCCCTGCCTATCACTTCTTTCATGGCTGCCTGACAGAGGCCACTGCCTCTGCTGTCTAAACTGCCTTTGCAATTCCTTGTAACTTAAATGCCTCTGTAGGAACCTGCCACATTCCTTCTTCTCAATCAGTTCTTGTGACTAACTGATGCCAAAATTCTATGGCAAAGTGTACCATGACTTCTTGAGTCATCAATATTCCTTATTCTCGGCCCCCAGAGGAACTCAAACTCAACAGTAAGCCCTAAGATGGCATCTTACAATAAAGGAAATGATAGAAGGTTTTGTTTCACCAGAGCTAGCTTTCCACTGCAGAACATTTGCTGTCCCACAAACCCCTGTGCTGGCATTTAGGCTTGTGGAAACAAGCAGCTAAATGGTCATTCTGTCTCTAGGGCCATCTATTTCACCTTGGAATGAGGTATTCTGCTTCCTTTCCCATTCTCAGGGAGTCAGTAATGGGCTTGGAACTCCTTGCTGCTCCTTCATGGTTCCTGGCTCTCTCTCTCTCCTTGGAATCTAGTGTAGTCTGTGTTATCAGAGTCTTCTCATTCACAGAGTGGTAGATGCTTCAAACCTGACATCTTGCTCTGCCTCCACTTTGACTTGGTTTCTTAATTAGCAAAATAGGACATTATCTTTGTACTTAGGGCTCAGTGGTATCCAGAGCTCAAGGAGAAGCTCTTTGGAGGATAGTAGAGCTACTTTAGCCATAGATATGGAGACAGCTCTACCCACAAAGCACACAAGTGCAGAGGCCAGTCCTGGGGCCACGGTCTACAATACCCCCTGTGCGTGGCCCCACAGGTAATCTCACAGAAAGGCACCACATTTAAATTATCCTGAAGTGAGCGTCTCATGCGGTGTAGATGTGATGCAGAAAAGGAAATCTTCTCTGGGAATAAGTGAGGGAGGCTGAGTTTGTTAGAGCTGGGAGGCTGAAGGTCTGGCCTAAAAATTATTGTTCTAATAATGTCTTACTGCTAATCTTAGGTTATTAGGGAGCTCTCAGGAACATGTGGTAGGTGCATGGGAGTTTGCAGGAACAAATTCAGCAATATCTACCCAGAATTCTCATACTCTGCCTTGTGTCTCTGTAGCTCAGGAAGCAGAAAGGGCACCAAGAGTCACTCTGATTCAGATGACACATCTCCTGGAAGTAAACCCCCCAACCAAAGCAACTCTTCCATGTGCAAGGAAAAGCACTGCATGACTTTCCTCCTATACAAGCCAGCCTGACCATCCAGGAAAAGGACCCAGGACCCTGAGAAATGGAAACAGCTGTTACGATAGAGCAAGGATTAGGACCAAACAACTTCATGATCCTAGCCCTTTTCATTTTCCTTCTTCCACCTGCATGAAGACAAGTGAACAGAGCTTAAAGCCCACAAAGGGAATAGGAGGTTGACCATCTTGGACCCTGGAAGTTCAAGTATTCTCCACATGTCTCCATCGGTGACAATATGACTCAAAGAAGCTTTCAAGAAAAGACCTAGGAAACACTAGAAGAAGCCACCTGGGATACGTGTGAAATTTCCATTTCGGGAAGCTTCCAACAGTGTGGAAAACAACTTTTTTTGGCCATCACTGTTAACCCTACTTTTCTGATGTTTATTCAGCCTTAATCTGCTACTCACATTTACTAATGATTGTCTCTATCAGTTAGGCTTGCTCAAGTAGAGACTCAGCTACTTAGAGCAGTAATTATGAGAAGTGGAGCTGTGGCTCATGTGGTAGAGCACAAGCCTTGAGCAAAAAAGCTAAGGAACAGTGCCTAAGCGCTGAACTCAAGCCTCAGCAGCAGCATACCCTCACAGAAAGAACAATAATTGTACTTTATTCACCTCAAGTCTCCAGAGAACTTACAGCTCAGTAGGACCCTAGTATCTCTCTGTGGCTGATTTGCTGTCTGGGAAGGAATGGGCTCAGTGGCTTCTGGGGACTCACCCAGACAAGAGCTCTGAATTTCCCTGGGCCTCTGCCCTGTCATCTGGGAGGCCCCGGATGGGTCTCTAGTAACAGGTGGTTTCTTTGTTGAGACCAAAGGAAAGAATGCTTAGCCCGCATTTAACCCCATCTACATTGTGTTACAAACTTTGTGACCCAATCAAGATTTTCTGGGATTTTCCTAAATTCATAGAAGAAAGTGCTTTTTGGTAGATTTTTACTTTCTTTATAAAGTCCTTCTTGTTCACTTATGAGTCTTTAAGCTCAAAGACTGTTAACAAAACTGGAAATTAATGTTGAAGGGTTGAGGTTGGGAAAAAAAAATAGAGGAATGTTATGTGGATTCTGTCTTATAACCATTATTATCTCATGAACATTGGGGAACTTTTTCTCCCTCCCATAACCCCACTGACTTTTCAGAAATCACATCTGGTTTCTTTTTTGTTCTCTTGACAGATGTGTTAGCAAGCTGTCTGGACTCTGTGTTTAGACAGAGCAGCCCTTTGAGCAACAGGAGCAGAAGGGAAAGGCTCCAGTATGGAATCGGAATTGTGATATAGACATCTCCAGAAAACCCTCAGCCCCTCCTTCTAGGCTGTCAGCAGCATCCAAACCCTTCAGTAACAACCCTTCCTCCTATCTATCTGGTTGTGACCCTGGATGCTGAACCCAGAAAGCTAAGGGAGGCTGTGAAGGGCTTCTAGGGCAGACTTCTTGTTTTGAATAAAAGTAGGTTGCACGCATCTGACCAAGCAGAACCACAGAACTGATAACTGCTTAAGAGATTAACTCCTAAATCCTTCCGTCTAGCAGTGAGGACACAGAGGCCTTGTTGAAGTCAGTTGTTTGAAACCACTCAGGGAAGCCAGCTAGTGAGAGCAGAGTTACTACTACAGAACTTGTGGCCTTACTTTTCTGGCATTGCCAGTTCACTGTTAGAATGGAGCACTGTAACAAAGCAAGACTCACGGTCAAAACTCTACAATTCTGCAGTAATTTTTCCAGACTAGTTTCATGGCCACAACCTTGGGGCTTGTCTGAAAATCTGCAAGAGACACAGGGAAGACTATTATTTCAATCCATGATCCCATAGTAAGGAAGAAGCCCTGATATTATTCATCTAAGACTACTTGGCTTATTAGTGGTAGATACAGGCCAGAATTCAAGCTGTTCACTCTACCCAACGAGTGTTTACCAAGTTGTCCAATGAACGCAGCTTCTCAGCATGCTAAAAGGTCTTAGGAGGAAAACACAACTTAGTAGGTCAAAGAAGTCTGGGAAATGCTAAATTAGCCAACAACTACATTTTTCTATTCAGAATTTCTGAGCCTTTAACATAAAAAGAAATATTATAAATACCTCTGAAGGTGGGGAAGGTTATACGTGTTAGACTATCATGTTTGGTAAAGCAATCACACTGAACTAAAGTTTCTCATATCACTGTCAGTGAAATCTGTTGCACTAAGCCAGGAGTTGGCTGACTTTCTATAAAGGGCCAAAGAGCAAATATTTTAGACTTTGCCAATTATACAGTCTTCATGGCAGCCATTCAGTTCTGTCCAAGTAACATAGAAGCAGCCAAAGTCCATCAGCTAAACAGTGGCTGTGCTGCGTTCTACAAAAATCTTGTAGAAAACAGGACGAGGTTGTATTTAGCCCTCAAACAGAATTTGCAATCTCCACAGAAGCCACAAGACCATGTAAGACTCTGCTGTCTCTCTGATGTGTGGGTTCAGACTTTCCACCTTAAGAGGCTGCCAGCCACCCATCTAGGGAAACTGTGCCTGCCTCTGAATTGCCCTATACTTGCTGCCCCATTCTGATCAGTTAGAGCTTTCTGTCTGGTTGCCTGGTCTTGGCAAAAGAGGGGAGAGAGGAAAGGACCACCCCAGAATGGGGCAGTGGCCAATTGACTAGAGCCAGGAATGTGTCAGAAGTAAGCTGTCTAAGAGAAGGCTGAGATCTATTAGGAATCAGCACAAAGAAAGAGCCAGTGCAGACCAAGATGAGCCTCAGGGCCATCTTTAAACAGAAGCTCTGCAAAGGACCAACACAAAACCAGGAACAAGACAATGGCATCACTTAGATCCCCAGAGATGTCCTTTTCTAACCTTTTTATTTCCTCCCAGTGGTACTGGTGTTTGAACCCAGAGCCTTTCGCATGGTAGGCAGGCACTCTACCACTTGAACCACAACTACAGTAGAGATTTCCTTTTTTCTTCCACCTTTTAGCTTTCATTAGCATGAGGTTCTCACCACTGAAATGAGAGACAAGACAGCCTTGCTTACTAGGTTGGGACTGGAGAAACCTTAAGGATTTCTAATCCAAGAAACAGGGAAACCATTGATTTTCAAAGCATCAGACACTTTCCTACATCAGAGCTAGGCTGTTGGATGCTAATTTCCCTTCTATTAGTAATGTGGCTACTGCTTGTTCTGTTCCCATGTTGCTATATGGCACATTCTGTCTGCATTGGACGCAATATTTCTGAAAGGGAGGCATGACCATTCCTATTTTAGAATAGAGAAGACAGATCTCAAGAAATTAAGAGACACTTCCAGGGAAGAGGCAAACTGGTACTTGAACACAAAGTGGTCTCATTAGCTGGGTTAACTGATCCTTGACCACCTGACTCCCTCTTTGGTTTTATAACCTGGGCATTGGGTCAAGTCCTTTCCTATCTATAGAGTTTCACAGCCTTTCTCCCTTAGACATTCACAAAATAATTTCTCTTCACTCACTAACTAGCTAGCTATCCTGCTCTAGTAAAGTATGAAATAAAAAGTTCAAGGATCCAGAATTAAGAGTTAAATCTTCAGGTACCAGCCCCGAGGCTTTTGCTGGCCTTTGTACAAATAATGATCCATAAGCGTGTCCATGTATCTCAGGTTACTGATGGCAAATGCTAGGCTGTAAGTGCACTTCCCACTGCCCTCCACTAATGACTGACGTGCTGCTTCTCCTTCAACAGTCACCGTGGTCTGAGAAATACAGAGTCCATTTAATAGCCTCAGTCTAACACAAAGAAGAAGGTACCTCTATGGAAAGATGGATTCTAACACACTTCAACATTGAAGGGGAAGCGAAAACTGTATCAAGAGACATGGACTCTCTCTGGGTATCTCTGAATGCAGGGCCCAGTGTCACTCCACTTTCCTTCTCATTAAATGACACAACATGACTGAAGGTGCTGGTCCTTTTACTGATAGCAGAAGCAGCTGTCACTCCAATTCCCATGCTCCAGGGCCGGGTGGGGTAGGGGTGCTGCTAACATCCATGCAAGCAGCAGAGAGGTGCGAGCTGCAGAAGAGGACCCCACGCTCACCCCTAGGGGCACGTGCTGGACTTATAGTTCTAGGACCTTGGGCCAACCGGTCCCAGTTTATTAATGATACACCTTCACTGATTAGATTCATCCTGCCTCTTTGAACTCTGGCTTGTTCCCACTCCTTGCCCAGTCTCCTCCTCTGTTTAGCACCACCAAAATCCTGCTGTAAGCATGGAAGTTCAAAAAAGGCCACCTCTCTCCTTCCTGCCTTTGCCAAGTATCACAGAGAAGAGGGAGAAAGCCAGGGAAGTTTGTCTAAAGATGTTGTAATCTACTTCAGACAAGAGCCCAGGCGAAGGGCATCAAAGAGTTTTTACTTCTTGGGGGGCCTGCAAGGGGAAAGGCAATCTGGCTAACCAATGCAACTAGCCTGGTCTTTGCTGGGCTCTCTTCTCCACCAGTGTCATTCCAACAACTAAAAGTTATATATAGTATACATCACCAAAAAGAAAGACTCCCCTTCTACACAGATGGGGCCACTAAGGCTCAGGTGCACAAAGGCTTTGGGAGTTATGGTGACTCTTTTCCCAGTGCTACCTGTCAGGTATACCTTGGGCTGGAGGCCAGGCTCAAACCAGGAACAAGGAAACAGCAAGTGTTTAGGGGAGACCCCAGCGGCTTATGAGGGAGACTGGGCCCTATCACCTGACCCTCACCTGTTGATTTTGGATGTCCGCCCCCAAAATTCTTCCTCCTCCTGTTCCTGTCTAGCTAGGTGTGGAGGTAAGAAAGGGCCAGGAAAGCAGTTTGGTAACCTCAGAGGAGTTTCCTCCTTTGTCCCTGCCTCCGGGAATCAGAAAATAAGAGCTCCCTGGGGCCCGTGGATATCCCCAAAGTTGGCTTTGAGTCAAAGCTGGTTCTTTTGCTTTTGGCTTTACAGCTCTCTTTGCTCTGGAAAGCCTCCCTGGGGTATAAAACTCAGCCTGTCTTAGGAGCCCTGAAACCAGCCCAAATGATAAAGGGTATGACAACCCTCCACCCCGAAAGCTCCAGAAATATTCTCACACTCTTGATTAGGAGTCAACTGAGCTAGACAAACAGTGAGGTGCTGGACACCCAGGCAGTGACACAGGGAGTCGAGGAGAAGGATGTGACTCAGGGGTTGTGTATTAGGGCAAAAGACTTCACATGCTTAGGTTTGTCCACTAAGTCACTCTTTTTTTTTGGGGGGGGGGTCCAGTCGTGGGGCCTGAACTCTGGGCCTGGGCGCTGTCCCTCAACTCTTCAGCTCAAGGCTAGTGCTCTGCCACTTGAGCCACAGCACCACTTCCGGCTTTTTTCTTTTTGCTTATGTGGTGCTGAGGAATCGAACCCAGGGCCTCATGCATGCAAGGCAAGCGCTCTACCACTGAGCCACCTTCCCAGCCCCACTAAGTCACTCTTCTAGCCCCATTCAAAGACTGGAGCTCACTAATCTAGCCAGTCTTCTTCCTTCCCTTCACATGCCCTCACTTCAACACATACCTTGTTCTTCTCTGAATGTTCTCCCGTAGATGTAGATGACAGCCACATTCTAGAGTCTCTAGAGAATCAGACAATTGCCAGGCAAATAAGGAGCCATTATAGTCAATTCTCCTCTCTTTCCACCTGCCCTCTAATAGGAAGGCTCAGCTGGGAAATAGCTTAGGCCTTCAAATATGAGTCTGGACTCAGAAATGCTTCAACAATTTTGCCCAAGCCCAGCCAATTGGACTATTCCAATTCTCCTTTCTGAGGGAATTCCAAGCACTGAGCGCACACTTAGATTGTTGTTAGCCAGTGGCACCATAGTGACCAGCCGGGCAACCAAAGCTATAGCTTCATCCCACACTCTTCTCCCTCCAGCACAAGACTGAGCTGAAACAGGAAGGAAATGCTGTGCTCCCACTGATGCATAGCAGCTGAGATAGAAAATACTGTATAGTAAGCTCTTTATGGGGGAGGAGGCCAACATAGTATGAAAACATTCTGAGCAGGTGATACTCTTTTGAAAAAATGGAACTGAGAACAGGTTCCTATAATTATAGCCACTCAGGAGGCTGGGGTCTGAGGAGTATGGTTCTAAGCCAGTCTGGATAGAAATGTCTATGAGACTCATCTCCAATTAATCAGCAAAAACCTGTAAGTGGAGGTATAGAGCTCAAGTGGTAGAGCACCAAGACTTGAGCAGAAAGAGCCAAGTGAGAGCTCAAGGCCCTGAGTTCAAGCCCTAGTACTGGAACACACCCATAGGTACGTGTGCACACATACAAACACACATATACATGATAGAGGATATTAACGCTGGCAGATTCAATGTCATGATGCCATTCTTTAGTGATTACTAATAAACTGGCTTGACAGAATACCGGACTACAGGGTTTGCTGGCCTGGGATTAAATATTGACTCCAAACAAGGATTAAACATTGACTTAGCCAAAGAGCTGCAAATGAGAGCGGAGAGCTGGCAGCAAACAGCATTTCATCTGTTCACTCTTATCTTACTCATTTGGCAAAAGCAATACAAGAACCAGCTACACTCAGGCATGCCATATGGGTAGTGGAAAGTGGGGGTAGGTGTGGAGGGGTCCCCTTCTCTATTGGTGATTGGGTCAATTCATGTCCTTGGAACAATAGTCTAATACTGACAGCCTGAGCATCCCGTGAGACCTCCCATCCTTTCTGAATGAATCACGGGTATACGGGTATACCCAGAAACCCTTTTGTCCTGAGTGGGAAGGCTTTAGGAAGTGGAAGGTAATGCCCTAATGCTGGAAGATTTGGATATAGGCCCATCTTGCACATTGGGGCAAGTCATTTCACTTCTCTGCCCTTCAAGAGTGAGGGACTACTCAGTTTTCTGAGAAGCAATTGCTGACCTGTTCAATACTATATCATAAGCACCTGTTAGGTGCCAACCACCCTTGCCTATTATATTTAATCTTTATAACATCCTTATGAGGTTAGGATAATTAGCCCTGAAGACATTAAGTAACTTAACCAAAGTCCCCCAGCTAACAGATGGCCAAGCTGGGATATGAACTCAGGACGCGCACAACCCATGCACTTCCCACAAGGCTGTGCTGCCTCTCC